GTAGAGAAAAAAAAAAGAGAGAGGCAGAGTGGATAAAGACAAAGGAAAGTAGAGTAAGAGAAGCAAGGATGTAGAGTAAGAGAAGCAAGGATGTAGAGAAAGAGAGGCAAGGATGTAGAGAAAGAGAGGCAAGGATGTAGAGAAAGAGAGGCAAGGATGTAGAGAAAGAGAGGCAAGGATGTAGAGAAAGAGAGGCAGAGGAAATGAGAGAAAAAAAAAAAAGGGAGAAGGAGAGGGAAGAGAAGGGTAGAGAAAAAGAGAGGCAGGAGGGAAAGAGAAAAAGAAGAGGCAGAAAGGGCAGAGAAGGAGAAAGAGAAAGGGCAGAGAAAGGGAAAAAAGAAAGGGAGAGAAACAAAAAAAAGAGAAGGGCAGAGAAGGAGGGGAAGAAAGGGAAGAGAAGGGGGGAGAGAAGGAGAAAAGAAAGGGCAGAGAAGGGGGGGCAGAAAGGAGAAAGGGCAGAGAAGGAGGGGAAAGAGAAAGGGCAGAGAAGGAGGGGAAAGAGAAAGGGCAGAGAAGGAGGGGAAAGAGAAAGGGCAGAGAAGGAGGGGAAAGAGAAAGGGCAGAGAAGGAGGGAACAAAAGGGCCAACAGAGAAAAGTAGTTAAGAACAAAATGCCAACATGCAGTTAAGTGGTAATTTATAAGATTTAGCATTGAATTCAAAAATGGATAAATTAATCAAAAAACATTTTTTGGATATTAATATTACTTCACTTTCTTAAAAAGAAATGTCCTATTACAAATAGATAAATGATGAAAATATTTTCATCTTCATTCCATATGTTCTATAAATAATGATTACAAGCAGAAGTCCACCAAAATATTTCTGGTCTTCAGTTACTAATGATAAATACAGAAAACTGTGCTTCAGAAATCACCTAAGTCAGACAACTGAACTATTTACATGAAATGAAGAAGGCTTGAACTTTGATAGGATGGTTCAAATCCATTTAGCATATCTGGTTATACATTTTACAAGTCATTTTATAATTAAAAAATAAATAAAATCTATAAATGTTTAGTGTTTTTTGTAATTGTATTCTATCGTATTTCCTTGATTTTGTATCTACTGAAGTGTAAAAACAAAAAATATCATACCAATGTTTTATTGTGCTAAAAAGAAAATGATAAAATGAACAAAAAGAAATGAGATGAAAATAAAATATCCCGTTTCTCTGACAAACAAATTCCAGACAACAAACTTAAGTGGTTTTGCAGAATGATATAGATTAAAAAAGAAAAATGAAAACAGAATATCAATGAGATATTGACAAATATAACATTAGTTAATATATGTGATAAATAGAAAAAGAATAAGAAATTTAAAAAAATCCTATAAAACAAAGATGAAAAGAAAATACTGAATTGTCTATGGAAAGTGAAAACAAATATTCAGGAAAAGAATATAGTTGGTTATAGATGAAAACAAAGCAGACATTACAACCCATCACACAGATGAATGAAAGTTAGATGAATATTTTTATGAGTTTTAGACAAGGATAAGAAATTAAAAACAAACTGACAAATAAGGCACTATTAGTCTCGACTTTCAAATCAAGTTATTAAGGAAAGAAAAAGAAATAAAATTGACATTTTTATAAGGTTTTTTTATGTTTTTTAGTTTTCCATTCCCCTTTTTATGGCCTTTCTTTACAGATATGAAGGTCTTTGAGGTGAAGACAAGAAAATAAATAAAATAGAAGAATGAAGAAAAAGTAATATTTAATCTGAATAATAATAACCACTGCCATTTGTATAAGTCAAGAGAAAACAGAAGCAAGAGGGGAGAGAGAGAGAAAAGAAAATCAAATAAACCATTGTTGGCTTACTTTTATGGCTCAAGATTTATTCCTCACTTCAAAACTACAAAGCCAATATTGTATTCTATTTTTTCTTTTCCTTATTATTTTCTTTGCTGTTTTTATTATCTATAATGACAGAGTTACAAAAATTACCATTAGTTCCAATATGAGCCAATGCAAAATATCTCGTTAATTATTCATATTTGCTTATTGATTGGACTTATAAATTTCTTTAAAAATCAATTCAGTTTTTATTTTTGTAAAATTCCAATTCCTTTTCATCACTGGAGTGGATCATTACTATAAAAGCTACATAAGATTAATGACAATAATGGAATGAATATATATATATATATATATATATATATATATATATATATATATTCAAATCCTTCATTATAAAGATGCATAAAAATCAAGAATAAAAAAGAAAGGTAATTGGAATAAAAATTGTACCTGAGAAAATACTAACAATAATAAAGTAATGATTATAAAGATGATTTTATTGACAATAGTAAATGTAGGGCAACTAATAAATAATAATTTATGATTATAAAAAGAAAAATTGAAGGCTTTAGTGACCTGCACTGTAAGGTGACTTGTACTGACAGGTTAAAAAAAATAATACAAAGACAAGGGTAGAGTTTAATCACAGAAATTAAACATGGAGAAATGATTTTGCTTAAAGGCCTCAGGGGAAGCAACCCCCATTATTCAATTCATATCCAATCAATTAATAGAAATTTTTTTTTTTTTTTCATTTTTTTTACACATTAGTATTCGTTTGGCACGCAAAATAATCTTTCGACTGTCACTGCTTGGCTGTTGATTAAGTGTAAAGCAGATGATGGTTTGTTTGAGAGGAAGAAAAAAGATGTCATGAAATATTAGTCATATTCTAGTTGAAATTTGTCAGAATGAAAGTGAAAAGAAAGTAAAGAGTCCCATATTAGGAGAGTAAATTATTTTTGGCATTAATTATTATCTCTAATAAAAGAGTTGCCTTCAATTTTAAAAGACAAGGAAAAGAACAATGTCTTAAAAATAATTTGGTTAAGCAGTAGAAAAGAGGAAACAAAGTTAATTGCAAGTTGATATTGTGTGTGTGCGTATATATATATATATATATATATATATATAATTGCCATTAAATGATATCCAAATTTTTATATATACACAGATATATGCACACACATAAAAACATAAATGGACAAATAGTAAATGAGAAAAACAATTACAGATTTCTTCCCTACAGTATTTAGAGAAATAAAAATTGGTGATTAATGAACAACATTAAATTCTGAGGGTTTTTATTATAGTTGACTTAGGAAATTATTGTCATGCAATAAATAAATATCTATATATAATCTAATTTCATGAAAGAGGGAGAAGTGAAAAGATTTAAAATTATGTTGTAAAAACACAGGTGAATTTTTTTTTTTCTTTTATTTATTTATACACACAAAAAAGAACTAAGTAAACATTAAAATAAAGATTTATTAAGGAAAACAGATCAAAAATACTACCTGGTCATTGTCTACAGATATGACACCTTTTCAAAAACCTATAATTTATTACTTACAAATAAAAAAAAAACAGATATAATTCTCTATTTGCCAATCTGAAGAGTTAAATTTTAAATTTGGTCATTTGCTAAGAAAGAATTCCTTAAAATTTGTAACAAGTAAGCTTTTTGATACAGACATCTATAGGAGTCATGTTATGTCAAGAAATGGTGCTTACCCCCAAAATAAAATTTGTTTAATAACTGACAGAACTTTAAAACAAACTAATCTTCACTCAAAAGCAGAATTAAGTTTTTGTTGAGTTAAAATAAGAATAAAGGTAAAAGAACATTTTTTCTTGACAATTTGAACAAAAGATATTGTTAAACTTAAATAATTTTATACAGAAATGTTCTTATTAATTAATTTTCATGCTCAGAATACATTTCAGCATACTTTAGTTTAGGAATTGTGTTCTTGAATTCATTTTTCTATTTAAAGAATATTAGTCCATTCCAACTGTTCACAATTAAAAAACGTTTTAAAGTCTTTATAAAAAAAAAGATTTAATTACAATTACCTGTGTCACACCATGACTAAATCTTTCATGTTTGTTTATCATTTTTTTAAATTCTCCCTAGTATTTTCAAGTTAGTTTGTCATAAGTAGAAAATAATGCATAAATGTTGTTTAATGGTTCATTCAAGTTTTTAATCAAAAGAAAAAAAAGGAAAGAAAATTGATAGAAAAAATATAATTTTCTTTTGTTTATTAAAGCAAAATTTGTTCTTCCAATTAGATCCTAATGTTTTTCACATTCAAAGATAAATAAAAATAATAGAAATATCTAAATTTTAGTTCTTCAATATTCACTTTTCATTTGAGTTTCAGTCACTAGTTTAAAAAGAAATACTTAAGTTTTGTCTACATTTTTTGGGAGTTGGTTTGTTTGTGCTGTAACCTAGGGAAGAAATGAAAGTCTGCCATTACTTGAGCGAAGTAGGAATTTTCTTTTACTTTAAGATATTAGTTGTTTTTAGAATATAATAAAATTTTAATTAGAAATTTTTGTATTGTCTTGGCACCATCCACCAAAAGTTAACCAGTCATCCCAAATTAATGTTCTATCATCCCCAGGACAATGACAATTTAGAGCCCCATTGAAAAAACGTTCTGCCCACAACTATATGGTATTTGCATTATTAGAAACAACCAGAAGAATAATAACATTTTGTCCACTGTAATGGTGAAATCCTGCTTTGGGTTAAATAGCAAGACAGACTAGGCCCTATAACCTTGGATGGCAACCAGTCTATTGCAGAAAGTAACAGCAGCTTACTGCAGGAATTCTTCTGTCAAGTCAATCATGAATCAGAAAGAGACATGATCACCGAAGTATGTATCCCATATGTCACCTAAGGAAAAAAATGGCGAAACAAACAAAATAATACTAATCATTATCTTTGGACAATCTATCTTCCTGTGTTCTCAGCCCAACCCACTTTCCAAAATCAGTATTCTGATATTAGAGTATTGAAATACTGATTTTGGAAAGTGAGTCAGACCAAGAACATTTTAGAACCCCTCATTTAGAAGCACAGAAAGTAGATAGTGCAGAGATAATAGAGCAGTTACCCCTAAAACAAACATACTGTCATTTGTTTATCAATTACAACTTGAACCAATTAGTAGGCCTAGCATGGAAATAAACACCATATAGGAGCTTTTAATTAACAAAGACTGAATATTAGGCACAAAATAGTTCATTTTTATTTTTTTCAGAAGCTAATATATTTTCATTTATTGCATCTTTAAGAAAAAAATACTTCCAAAAGAAAAAATAATCTTAAAAAAAATTTTTAAGAAAAAAAATGCTATCCGAATGTCTATTGGTGCACTGGAAATTGTGTATTCAATCCCTGGGTGAGGTTAATGATTGCAACAGAATGTGGTGGCCTTGGCCAAAATTGGATAATAAAGACAAGATAAGGAAACCATACTTAAAGAATCATTGTCTATGAAAACCTAAGGAAATGAAATTCTGAAAACTCAACTGAAATATAAAAATGATAATTTAATTATTTAAAAAAAAAAAAAAAAAAAAAGCACATTTTTAGAATCACTCAAAAAAAACAAAAAAAAACATAACTAAAATATGTACAATCATAGGTTGATGAGACTTATTTAAGAGTACATGATATAAATCAGTATGATTTTAAAACGCATTTATTCATCTTTTTATTTCAATAGGCAACAACACAGCTGGTTCAGAAGAAAATGATCATTCTATAAGTAATTATGGGGTGGTAACCAAAGTATGACAAAAGATCATAATGTGGTCAACTTG